CAGTGAGCTTGTCCATGAAGGGCAGAGCAGAAGTATGCCACTTACATCCTCTTGAACTTTACCCTCCTCTCTGCAATGATCATTAGAGGCCACTCAAGCACTTGCTATCCTCCATTTTTATGGAGGGGGGCCGATTTTCCTGCACCACACATTGACAAGGGATTCAATCACATTTCCTTCTTGAGTGCCAATATGCCTTGACAAATCATTCCTCAGCCTAGTGATGTTTCTCAACATAGGAAACACTTCTTTCTGGAACTAGTGGAGGGGGCATAAAGCACCCACTATGTGAACAGCTTTCACTCTTTCTGGCCGTGTGTGCCAGCAGATTACCTCAGTAACCCTGAGTTCTTGCTTACCTTGCTTGGAATAGGCTGTCTCAATGATAAAGCCTTCATATGGGGCTTGGAGGATTTGCCAGACAGTGAACAATGTGACCTTAGTCTAGAGGAAATGGCCTCACACACCTTCTGCCATTGTCCTTGGGGCCACCCCTTATGGGAACGTGTTGGCAAGTTGATAGCTCGCATCACTCCTGAATAGTTTGTGCTCATTGATTCACATACGCATGTGACAATGTATCACTCCTGTATTCTGGGGTGAAATGAATGATTTGGACAACGCAAATGGAGGAAGTCTTGTGAGGCAGATATCTTTCTCATCAGGATCTGATCCAATTCTTTGAGAATGAGCTCAAGATAACAATTTGAACTGATAGAAAACACTTGCATTGAACAGACTTTAGCAAAAGGTGGGTGACTGAGGCAAGTTTAGTTCATGTGAATGGGGCTTTGATTTTCTTTTAGGTCTACCTATTTCACAGCGGGCTGGTTTCCAGTGGAGCCCTCCTAGGGTTAGTCCAGACAAGCCTTAGTTAAGATTCCCAACTTCTCCAGTTTGTTTTTGACCTCCCTTTCATTTCAACTGGGTCAGCTTTCTTTATTTCTTATGCCCATAATTTTCTCTCCCCACCCACCTCTCCTTTAGAGAGAGAGCCTCTTGATTCTGCCATAGGGCAGAATACAGCGGCTTCCTTGGATGGGCCCTAGTAGTAAGAGTTATATTTATTTTGCTTTGGGGTTTATCCCTTCCCATCTCATTGTAAATAATAAAAATTTATACATAAATTTTGTGGTTATCATTCAAATTTTTAATATCACGGTACATTTTGTAGAGGATGTATTATGGTATGGGGAGGATTGATTGGCAACACGAGTTTTTATGCTGAATGAGTTGTAAATCAGATTAGCTAGGTGTAAGATAGTCAGTGAAGACCAGCCTCAACACTCCTTTTTGGCCTTGTGCCATAATTGTATTCATTTACATTAAATATCAATAATAAAATAAGAATCAGCCAAGGCAACTGACATGGCTATAAAATTTCACAATGCTACTGGTTGGCATATCTGAAGCAGCTTGGTGTGATGGGCCCCATAACAAGAGCCAATATTTTTTTATTTTAACATAATGACTTCGTACTTAAAACCAACTCAGCCTTAGTTACTTCCTTAGATCATATCCCTCCAGTGGGCTACAAGATAAATAAAATGCATTACTGTATATACTGATCTGTGGGTATATACGGTAGATTTGCTTGAGGATGTTGTCTAATATGGGATCCAAAAGTTACCAGAGTAGTTTTGATTTTATTCTTTTCATTCATTACCCACCTTTTGGGGGCAATGCAGGGACAGGTTAGACTGCTGGAGATGAAATTCAAGAATTACCAATTAATCATGACATTAAAACTGCTAAATGAGATTTCAATGTAATGAGTGTATAAACTGTCACTTTTGTCCCTAGTATTCCTCACTGATAGTCATTCGTTTGCAGGTTGGCTGCTTCAGTCAGGACTGATTTCATTACTTGCCCCCATGGAATTTTTTGCTGGTAAATTTTTTTTTTTAAAGCTGGTATGAATATTTTTTTAAAAAGTTCCATATTAAACATTAATGCCCTGTGGGGGTTATGAAGGGTTTTGTATGCTCTTTTGTTTGCCTGTCATCAAAATTAAGCTGATAACAGCTGTTTAAAAAAAACATTTACTTTAGGAAGTGTTTTGTACGGTCGCATCACTTTTCAGCTTACGCCCGTGTAGCGTGCTTCCAAGTTTGTAAAAATTAAAAAACAGCAACTAATAATTTTTGGTCCTTATGCCATACAAATACTGACAAACAAAAAAAAAGGGGGGGGGTAACAGGGATGACCTGACTGATAACTGCCACCTTTAACTTTCTCACTCTCCTGTGGTGTTGCATAACTATATAGACTGTTCCTTAGTGTGTAACACACTCTTCCGTTACTAGATTAATCTCAACTCTTCTTTGATGCTCCTTGAGCCCAACTGAGCAATTGGTTTTTTTTTTTTTTTTTTAAGCCACTCCTTGTTCCATTGGTCAAAATAAATTTTCACATAGGCTTTTTTTTTTCTTTCTCTCCAAACAAATTTTTATTATCATTTCAGTGTATAAAAGTTCCAAATTGTGGCCCCAAGTCATGAGACACATCAGCAAGGTAAACACTAACCTATATGCTCACCTGAAGACTATTCACACACACAACCACAGAAACATTATATAGCACAAATTGTTCCATCAATCTGTACAAAGCAATTCAACATTTGCGGTTGAATGAAGAGGCATCATTAGAATTTTTCTAACTCCATGGAGTATTACTGCCGTCCATGAAATGATCTTGATGCTATTTACCTTGCTTGTGTACTGAACTAAGTGCGGCATTGCAGAAATTCTGTCTACCGCCCTAATCACCGGAAAACAATGTGACTTCAACGCAAATAGAGGGGGGAAAAAAAAAAAAAAAAAAAAAAAAAAAAAAAACAACTTTTTGGATAAGTCCTACTTGTCTGCATGCAAAGTGCTACTTTTGTGTACCATCTTAAATTTTCTTGATCAAAGCTGGTGTCACAGGATTATTGCAGAACACCCCCTTCAGTCAATTGGTTCCATTAACAGTGGATTGCAAGGAAGGAGAATCCAGGCATGCAAAGACACTTATATAATGTACCATATCCCACCAGGATCTATTATTTACAGTGACTGCTGGTTATCATGTGCAATTACCAAAACACGGATACACACAAACAAATCAACCATAGTGTATATTTTGTTGAACTTGCAGACTGGAATATCCACAGCCAAACAGTAGAAAGCCTGCAGAAGACTATGTAGGATGCTGCCATGCAGCCTGGACTTAAAAGAAAAAAAAAAAAAGTTTCCTTAAAGCATTGCCTCTCCATACTCAGGCGGGGTTAGGGTTTAAACAGCAAATTACCCATCTCCATTAGTAACTTTTGATCTAAAGAATTTATCTGTGATGATAAATATGTTAGGTTCACACTAATTAAATGCCCAAATCAGCTCACTGTTATGTGCCATCTCTGAATGTTACAAGATCTAGGTTCAGAGTATGTGGGTGGGTAAAAAAAAAAAAAAAAAAAAAAAAACACAGACCTTAAACAATTAGTGTAACCCGGATATAAGAGAGTTGTCGGGGCCGGAGAAGTCATCTCTTATATCCGGGTTTGGTCTATTTTGTTTTGGTAAGTATGGCTAATTTGGGACCATAGAAAATCTCTCATATCCAGGTTACACTGTATTTAACAATTTTCCTATTCTTATCAAACATCAATTGTATGTTCTTTAGTTTTCCTGTCATCAATTAACTGATGACAATTGTTTATAAAAAAAAAAAAAAAAAAAAAAAACGTTTACTTTAGGAAGTGTTTCGTACGGTCATATCACTTCAGTTCATGCCCGTGTAGCGTCTTCCAAATATTTATTGAAATGTCACATGAAAGGCTGTTAAAACAAACAATTTAAAAAAAAATAAAAAAAATGTTTAGCACAATTAGTTGGCACAAGGTTTGCCCCTAATGAACACACATATAAATAAATAAAAACCCAGATTGTTACACAGGAGCTGATAGAAAAGAAAGAAGCATATGCTAAACAAAAGAAAATCAGTATTTGAACCTTCCATGTTAACTGAAAAAAAAAAAAAAAAAAAAATTGAATGCCAACTTGTGAGGAAAGAAAATTTATCCTTAAACTTCCATGAATTTACTTTAGCTGCATACTCAGATATATATATTTATAAATATAAAAAAGCCTTGTCTTTTTTTTAGCTGACCTGCAAGTAAATTGTTTTAACTTACATACTTATTCAAGCATTCCTTCCAATGAGGGACCTTGTGCCCACATTATAGTTGCCTACTTATCAGTGTCCATTGTTCTAAAATGACTTTCTAGGTATAGAGGCACCTGAAAGTTTATTTTCATATATATATATATATATATATATATATATATAAATCACCTACTCCCTTCTGTTGTATAAAGTTAAGCTTACTAAGCCTATTTTAATCACATTAGGTCACCTTGTGCCATTAACTCTTTATATACTTTGTTTTCCAGTCCTCATCAGGTGTACATTCTGTAAATAAAATGTCTGAAAGAAAGAAAAAAAGCTGCAATAGTAAATAAGCTATCATTAATGTACCAACAAAAATCAACCGATTTCAAAAGTGATGTTTGCATTATACTGCTAAATCCCTAGACTATTCTAAATTATACAGTTACTTCACAAGATGAATCTGTTAAAAAATCCATAGTAACCCTGACCAATAACAGCCGCCACCTCCTTCAACTTCCTCACTTCCCAATGGTCTTACCTAACAACTTTATTCCAGAGTGGCTAAATACACCCCCTTCTCTTATTTTCCCACCTGCCCAAAATGTTATTTAACAGACAATAGTTTAGCAAGAGGGTAAGATGAGAGTACAAAAAAAAAAAAAAAAAAAAATCCAATGATCTCATTTTCTTTTTAAACAATTGTTATGAATTAATTTTAGTAATCCAGATAAACATTTCACTCACAGCCCATGATAAATATTTTCCACAGCTAGACAGAGAACGAGGAAAAGAGAAAATAAAAATTCCTTGTTTACAGTCTTTATTATTTTCATTTGAAGTTCAGCAACTTAACCCAATTTCTGAGCTATCTCCTTTGCCCGCACTCTTTCCAACTTAGTCAGCCGAGCCTGGGATTTGGCACCAAGAATACCACCACCCCAGTGACGACGGATCTGTGAAGAAAAAAGAAAATAAAAATACTTATATAGTATACCAAAACTTTGAAAAATTCTAGGCTACAATTTTTTTTTTTTTTAAACTTGACAGGGTGGGGTTGCTCAATTGGACCTAATTACCAGTCTAATAACATACAAGGCTTCCAAGCTATACATATATAAAAAAAAAAAAAAAAAAAAAAAAAAACTATGGTAAACTTGTGGTTTCCTTAAATACAATCCCTTACCAATTTAACTGCATTAGTAAATGGTAAACAGAGGAATGCTACTATAAAATATAACATACAATCAATCCAACTTTTCAGCTAGGTAGAAAAATTGTTAGCATTTCATTTTCAATAAAGTTCACTTCCAAGGAAGGCAAAGGCACTAAGCTACAAAGGGTTATTGAGTGTAAAAGAATGAGAAAATAGGAGGAACAATAGGAATTCATACAGAATATGGCACTTGACATTGCATTTTGAAGATAATGACAAATTCCATGTGAAAATAAATAAGTCTTACCTCTTCAAATCTATCATTGAAATTTGTCTTTACAGATTCTACCAGCTTATTCAGGTTGGCCCGATCATCTCTGTAAAAAAAAAATTTGAATTGAATTCTTCAAATTGAGCAGCAAAAAAAATATTCCAATCAGCAAACATGCTTTTTTTTCATTTCAACTCATTGAAAGCATAAACAACAAAAAACAACACAACCTATTGATAAATTATCAGTATTTCTTCAGATTTAGATATCTAAAATTCTGAAATCACTAATGAGTTTGCATTCAATTAACACAACTAGAAATAACCAAATTAGGATATAGAGATCATTTTAACCATTTTTTTTTTTAAATGAAGAAATAAAAAGAAAAAGAAATGACCCAAACAGCCAAGGGAATGTTATAATCATAAAAATCCATCTTTAAATATTTCCCATTACTGATATTTGTGTCAAACTTTTAAGCAACTATCTAGGAATAAAGTTTTTTGTGATCCGTTCCCAGTATGAACATACCTAATTCACAGCAAATTTACTTAAACATTTGAAGTAATGGGGGGGGGGGTATGAGGCAGATATACTTGTATGTTCTTTTGTTTACCAGCTATCAAATTGTTTTAAAAAACAAAATTTGAAAAACAATTGAACATTTACTTTAGGAAGTGTTTGGTACGGTCGTATCACTTTAGTTCACGCCCGTGTAGCGTTCTTCCAAATATTTATTGAAATATATTTCTAAAAAGGAGCAAATATCAAAACCAAGTAAAGAATGAATAAAATGTTTTAACACAAGTATTGTTTGGATTTAAATGTGTAAAACACTAAAATTTAAATTTCTTTAACTGCTTTATATATCAGCCCTGTTCATTTAAACAAGTTAACAAGAAATTAATGTTGATCTTTTAACTAGTTAAATATTCAAGCCCACATAAACTCATCTTGAATGATTTTCTAAGCAGCAATACAATTTTGGCACAGTAATAATCTCCCAAGAATGTTGGCATCAGCTCAAATTAACAAGAAACTATTATATAAACCCTGGAAACCAACCAACCAAAAACACTAAACTAGTATTTCAATGATCCACTTATTTTTTAATTCTAATAAACAAAACAAAAAAAAAAAAAAGCTGTTAATATAAGTAATAGGAAAGAACAGTCAGATTTATAATCTAAAGTTCTTTAGTATTTTTGTTTTATTTAAGAGAGAAAGAGAAAAAAAAGTGCTTGATACAATAGTATAATATATTTTTGTAAAAAAATGTGTCTTTCAACGCGACACAGAAATTACTGTTTCAAAACCGAGACTTAAGCCCTAAGTTCAACTTCAAAATTAAACTCAAAATTTAGGGCACTGTTTCATTCTCAAGCGCTGTTAATAACTGAGAAATCAGTTTACTCAACTTAGGAAAAGGTGGCTGTAGGAGGGTTACTATTTATCAGGGGGTTTCAGCTTTTACAAAGAGAGTAGGAATGTTTGTTTGCTAAGTTTTTGGAGCTGTTGGATTAGCAGAATGGGAGGGGGTCTGCCTACACTAGCTTTTTATCTGGCTGGTTTACAATCTTTTTTGTGTGCATGTTTTTTTTCTCTATGCACCTACACTGAAAGTTTCTTAAAGGGGTATTTAGGTATGAATGAGCTCTATTTTTAATTTTATACGTCTAAAATTGACTGAATTTGCTAATAGACTATATATATGGGATAATGAAATTTTTATATTTTACGATTACTTCATTATTTTTTTTATCAAAAATAGATCATATAAACACACACACACGTGTGTTATTTCTTTATTATTTCGTAACTTATAAATTGAATAAGTTACGTTTTGAAATTGGACTTTAGTTTTGGTTTCAAAACAGTAATCTGTGTGTTGAGGTGGAGACATTTCCAAAACAATTTTTGTGCACAAATGATTCAGACACAGCCAAGGATGTTTAATCACAAAAGTTCATCCAGAAAAATAAAGTATTCATCACAATCATTTGTTAAAGGTTAATTTAGAATTTGTTAATTTCAAGCATATTTTCTAGGGAAAAAAAAAAAAAAAAAGTAGGGGGAAAATGGCTGTTAGATAGTCTTAATTTTCAAATGTAGAGATTTCTCAGTAACACCATACTTACGGATTGACGTGTGTGATTGCTAGTGAGGAACAGGTTCTGCGCCTGACAACACGTCCTAGTCTGGCTTTTCCTTTTACAATGCAATATGGAACACCCATTTTACGACACAAAGCAGGCATGAACAACACAAGCTATAAAAGAGACAAAATATATTCATCAGAAATATGACAACATAGTTGCAAGAGCAAATAAATCTGTTACAGAAAAGATCACTCAGTATTTTTTGTCAAGGCTGTCTTCAAAATGGTTACAGGTGAAGAAATTCTTGCATCACAGTGATCACTACAAAGTCAATACATTTTAAACTTTGCATACTGGAAATTTGGATTTCTTTCTGTACTATTGATATTTAACAATTCCTATTCAAAGTATTTTTTTTGTTTTAAAGAATTTCACCCCAAGTTCTTCTAAGACTAATTCTTCTAAGATGCAAGGGGGGGGGGGGGGTTACTGAATGTGAAGGAGAAAAATAAAAACATTAAGGAGAAGGATGATACAATGATAGAACAATTAAAACAGAATATACCAATTGACATTACATTTTTGAAGATCAAAGCTGACTGGAATGCAAATGAGAAGTGTTGGCATAGAACTTGCCATTATATCTAGCAATTTCAACTGTAAAATGAGATTTTAAAAAGTCTTAACCTGAATAATACATAAATAAAACATCCTGGTTATTCATGTTAAGGAAAATCAAGATCTACCCCCCCAACTTTAAATTGAAAAATTAAAAAGTGTTTTGGCACATCACTGACCCACTGATGCTTTGGTAATATTTTGTGATAAAATGTCAAAATTGGATAAGTATCCATTTGCTATGAAAACTTGACAGCTCAGATTTAAAAAGCTCGTTTTTCACAACATCAGAAGTCAGGTGAAAAATGTATAAATCATCATTGAGCCAAGGAAAAACTTTAGCTTTAATTGTAGCAATAACAATACCTAAAAATTAATAACAGGTTAGGAAAAAAAAAAGTGCATGCATTGGGGGTTGGAGATCTTACAGTGGATATTTACAGGAACATGCACTCATCAGCAATCTGAAGTTATATTACAGTAATTCCTTGTCATTAATGGTAATTTTAAGAATTTTTTAAATCACAAACATGCTCACCTCATGAAAATTTCTCAAATATTTTTCATTATTCAATATTTAAACTGTTCAAAAGGAAAACTAAAATATTGCTTAAGATAGGTGTGTTTTTACCAACTTTGGTGCACTTTTAGCTAGCTCTTAAAAATGTGTTGGCAAGTTATGCCAATTTAACTAAGGGGGACAACTACATTACAATCAAACTTGCCTCCTTTTAGAATATATCCGTTGAAAATTAATGCATATAAACTTTGATTTTTTTCTAGTTTGTAAATAACTCAAAGCAGGACTCGAAGATCTCGGTATGGTAGTAAATTTGATAAAACCATGGGGTCGGTCTTATTGAGGTTTTCATCATTGTCCTGCAAGAGTTTTCAGGGTGACAAAAAAAAAAAAAAAGACATTAACTTATTTTCGTAAAGAGTTTTATATGTAGAGAAAGATAGGAAGAGTATAATTGATAGTTAAAATCTATCCATTAAATGGTTGATTTTTAAAGAAATCTTTTACCAGAGAGGAAAAAAAAAAAAAATACTGACCTCAATTGGGTCAACATCATGGGCAATGACAACCAACTGAGCTTTTTTCTGTTGAATAAGTGTTGTGACAGTGTTGCAACCAGCTCTGACAACAGGGGGTCGTTTTGTTGGAAGATCCTCCTTGCCAGCAGCTCTTCTTTCAGCACGAGCCCTCAGGCGAGCTTTCTTTGCTTGCTTTGTTTCTGGCTTGTATTTATCCAACAGTTTGAATAATTGTGTGGCTGCAATAGAGCAGTACAATTAAACATAATTCAATCCATGTAGAAAACTTTAAGCATAAAAAAAAAAATTAAATACCCAGTAATAAACGCACTAAATCCAAAACCTTTATGCAAAAAAGCTGTATGCTTAACTGATAATATATTTCAAATTGATTATTTTTCAGGATTTAAAAACTCAAAGCTGGACTCGAAGATCTCGGTATGGTAGTAAATTTGATAAAACCATGGATCGGTCTTATTAAGGTTTTCATCATCGTCCTGCAAGAGTAATTTATGTTGCAATATTAAAAGGTGGTCATTGGAAAATTGTTAAAAATCTTAAGCTCACTTTAATTTTTATTTAACATTAGAAAGGGCAAGAAAAAAAGCTGACTGACAATAGAGAGATTTAAAATTGATTATTTTCAGGATTTAAAAACTCAATGCTGGACTCGAAGATCTCGGTATGGTAGTAAATTTGATAAAACCATGGATCGGTCTTATTAAGGTTTTCATCATCGTCCTGCAAGAGTATATTACAATATTAAAAAGATGGTCATTGGAAAATTGTTAATATAAATATTAACTAGCTCATTTTTGTTTTTATTCAGTTTAACATTAAAAATGACCATTAGTGAGTGGGGAAAGAAAAACGCTCAATAGAGATTTAAAAATCCCAATTATTGGTCATCTGGACCAATAATTTAAGAAACACATCAGAAACGTCATAAAATAAACTACCATAAAATTTGTTTTTGTTGTCAGGACTGCTCTGTTTGGTAAGATAAAAAACAGCATAAAAATCAGATGGTTTAACAGTCATCATTGTCCTGCAAGACTTTACAGCACTTTAACAATCAAACATTTTAAATATAACCCATGTTAAATACTGCAAGTAGAGAGAACAATAATAACCGAGAAACACTTAGCATATTGAATTCATGGTTATTAATTTCAAACAAACATCTACACATTTTAAATAATTTCTTCAGTAAAAAGGCCTCGAGAATCTTGGTTTCATTGATAAAAATCATTAGAAAAAAAAACAAGAAAGAAAACTGCTTTCTTCACAAGTTATTCATTATATCATATCCAACTATTTTTACAAAATATTAGAGCCAATTACTCTATTTCACACAATTTATAGTTCATAACCATGAAAGGAGATGAGGTAACAAACTATAGTTTTGTTTGCAGAATATTACATTGTCACACAAATATAGTGAAATCATTATGGTTTTTTGTCAAAAGCATTTCCTTTTTACAGGCTTTGTTTTTAAAACGGAATAAGATCATTTTCAATTTCAGAATTTCGCTATTGCCCATCAAAATGACTGGAATAAAGCGATATAAAAACCACAATGGAAGAGAGAGTTAACAAAGCGCAAACGAAATAGCTTCAGTTTATTCAACTTTGGAAACTTAGCATTGCAGCCAAAGTATTATAAAATGCTGCCAATAACAGAAAATGAAAAATCCTAACTAATCAAATGTAAAACATTAAAATTTATATTTTTTATTTGTAATATAATACATAATTGCCAACAATGTTTCTGTAAAACTTGATATTTCCTGTAATAAATTCTTAGTTATTTTACTTAAGTCTAAGGTAGTCCTACATTTAGAATTTTTTACAGCTAACCATTAAAAATGTTGATTAAAATTCCAAGTGCATATTGCTGCAAAATTATCAAAATGTCGAACACGTTATATATGCCATCTTAAAAATGCCACCTCATTGTTAATATCAAAACCAAGATCAAATTTTATAAAAACCCCAAAATGACTAGAGTGCTCAGATTTAAAAAGCTCATTTTCTCAAGATCAGGAATCACAAGAAAATAGTCATCATAGCTACCAAGTCATTAGATTTAAAACCATTACAAAATTTGATAATTATCATGTACAAGCTTCAAAATAAGTAGCCCCAGAAAAAATAAGAGAAGCTAGATTTATGTTAATTAGTAAAAAGCTAATTCTATGACAAAAGCTTAAGTTGCCTTGGGATCAACTGAAGGACAACAGCAAGACTTAGAATTAAGTACTTCCACTTTTTTGCTGGAAAAAAAAAAAAAAAAAAAAAAAAACCAGCATGGTGAAAAAGAATGCCTTTTCATTTTAAACCTAAATATTGAAAATACTTAAAATCTACCTAATTGCTAGCTCAAGACATACTTTGTTATTTACTTTATTTTGATATTGTAACAAAAAAAAAAAAATTAAATAGTTAAGTAATTCAGAGAAATGTAATTTCACTGCCTGTACACTGATTTTCTGAGTGTCCAAGAGGCTCAGTAAAATTTTGGAATCATTTACATTCATGTAGCAAATATTCTAAAAATGCATCATTGCCATGGACACATTTTAGAGCAATTAGTGTTACCAATGTCAAGAGACTTACCCAACTGTTTATCCAATCCTTGCCTGAATTGGTTGATTGGAGGAGGAACCTTTAGGCGTTGATAAAGGACAGCCTTCTGCCTTTGAATCTTAACATATCGGGGCCATTTAACAAAACGAGTGAGATCCCTTTTGGGCTGGATATCTTGGCCTGGCAAAAAATTTACATGTTTTGTTGAAATAAAAAAAAAAAAAAAACACACACAGCTTTGTAGACTGGAAAGTCTTCAACTGCTAAAGCAGACATGCAATTGGAATAATCCCTAACAAGATAAAGACAGGGCAGGAACTATAAACAATCTTTCAGTGAAGGATTTGATGGATAACAATTTTACCTTCATGACACACAAAAATTGTGACAGCTAAAGTGTGTGGCATGTCAGCAATCTTTTACAATTACATTATTCAACCGAAATTAAAATTTTCAGGGCACGGAAATGGAAACGTAAAAAAGTTTCAAAATTCCTTCAGAATTTTTTTTAATTTTTAACAAGATTTGATACCATCAATACAATATGGTAATCGAGTCATAATTTAAAAACCTATGTATCCCTAAACTAATTCCCTTTTTTTTTTTTTTTTTTAATTAAAACAGTGTAAATCACCACAAGCACACTTTTTCATTACCAAAAGTCAAATTACAGGTTAGCAATTGGTCAGTTTCTTTGTAAAAGATTAGTGAATTTCTTACATATCATTTACCTTAGTTCATTAAATAATGTAGACAATTACTGGCACAGAAGCCAAAAAAAGGACAGCTGGGCTTCAGTGTGTGTCTAAATTTTTTGTTGCACTGTTGCTTGACCTCTACAACCATTTATGTTTGCACAGGTTCAAATACAGTGCTGCAACCTTTTACAAATTTCAATGGATTTATGCAGCAGAGCAAAAATTTCAAAATTCAAAACGGGTTTTCATTATGATCGAGAATACTTTATAAATTAACATTTACCTACAATAAAGTATTTTTGCAATACAAAAACAGAAATTTTGTAAAAGTTAAAAAATTCATAATTTGGATTTTTCATATATAGAACTTCAGACTATAAATTAAATGATTATTTTTAAATTAAGAAATAACATCTGAGCATATTTGACTTGAATCTACAAAATTACAGTGTGACCATGACACAATTATATCATTTGTATAAGGCACAGAAGACTCAGACAGCCAAGGGTGTTATATCATATTAACATCATATTAAGCGAATAAGTCTTCAATCATAGTCATCTTATGCCAAAACATTGTGCAGAAGGAAGTAAATAAAATCCCTTGCCCCACAACCATAAACTTTTTAATAGATTTAAATTTTATATATTCAGGATTTAAAGCATTCATCAGAGCTCCAAGCCACAACAGTTATCAGAATGGTAAAGAAATAAATAAATATGATATCTAAATAGTGCCAATCTCTAAAATCCAAATTTGAAGAGAGGAGGAGGAGGAGAAAAAAAAAAAAAAAAAATTTTTCCCCTGCTCCGTTTGATTAATTTAAATTCTCTAGTGGATACAGTTTTCTCTATTTTAATGGTAAACTTACCAAATCAAGGACACTAATACAACATTTGGATAAGGCACAGAAGACTCAGACAGCCAAGGGTGTTATATCACGTTAACATCATATTAAGCGAATAAATGTCTTCAATCATAGTCATCTTATGCCAAAACTTTAATACATGGTGTAAAATGTAGGAGCCTGGAAGCATAAAAAAGAAAAAGAGAAACCCTTACTTACCAATCCCAAAGTTTTTCGGTCTTTTCTCAAACAGAGGGTTGACCACTTTCTTTGGCTCTACCTTCCTCACAACGGAAGGAACTGCCGCTATTTTCTTCTTCCCCTTTTTAGGTTTCGGCTGAAAAAGCATTTTAATCAATACTGAGCTATTTTGACCATTTACAAGATGATTGATTACAAAATAGAGAGAGAAAAGGGAGGAAGAAAAAAAAAAAAAAAAAAAAAAAAAAGCACAAATCCCACAGATTAAAGCCATCAAAAAAATTTTTAGCCATCTGGCATTCTCAGCAGAGGAAATATATCTGAGGAAGCAAATCAGCAGAGTTAACCAATATGGGTTTAATTTTTAACATTTGTATTCATTTGAGCTGATTAGGAATCCTTAATCCAAATACTGATGCCTGAACAGTTTCTTTTGCTTTAAATTAGATTTTATATATGTAGAAATAGTTATTAGATTAAAGTAGGTACCTGCACTAAGTTTTTGATACCTAAGGTTTAAAATGAATTTTTAAAAATGAAAAAGCATTCTTGAAGCTTTCTTTTTAGCTTTAATTGAAAGCTAAATGATTAAATTTACTATTTCCAGTTAGCAAAATACTCTGGTGTATTTCAAACAGAAACTATATTGAATGGGATCTCAACTTTTTGGTCTCTTTCAGAAAACCAATAAATATTGGCTATCTTGATAGATTTGTAAACAAGTTAATTCTCGGTTTTAAATATCTTCCAAAAATAAAATTATTTGATAAAAAGGTAAATTTGCAGATTAAACCCCGCTATCAAGTGTGGAAGCTTATTCAGTTAACGGCCTTTTTACTTTTTATCTTACTCATCTCGATTACTGCGCAAAACCAAGTCTTTAAACAATTTTGAAAGTGAAGCTTTTATTGAATTCTTAGAAGCTATGACAAGTTTTTTTTTTCTTTTATAGTTATTGTTTAAATAAGACAATTTTTTAAAAGGTAGCCTTTCCACAATTGTCAGTTATTTTGTAAATAATCACGCTTAAATAACATTGATTAAAATTATGAAGTCCTTTGGCAGGATTAGGATTTGTGTTTTTTAAAGCTCCAAATTTAATAAACAAATTTTGAACCATTTGTTCTTAAGTCCTTTCCAGCACTTTTATTTTGTAAATAATCATGCTTTTTAAAACCCCAAATTTGGGTTACTTTTTAAATTTCGCGCATTCATTTTAAATTTAAGCTTGCGCAACAATCAAGGCAAGTGAGGCTACCGCGCATGACTACTAGAGTCAAAAGTACGTAAACAACGCCATTCATGTCTGCCGGGCTGTAGCCGCAACGTGAATGAGGCCGAACTTATCGATTAACTCCTAAAACGGTAGGTTTCCGCAAACCATGTACTGTTATTTTCGAATTAAAGATGCCAATTTCCAAAATTTTTATGACAATTGGTTTTCGGACCTTAACCTGCAAATTTACCGCGAAAAATTTAAATTAATCTGATTCGAAAGAAATGACATAACGTAGTACAGGCTTTTATTAACCATGGGGTCCTGTTTTTATGGCGTGTTAAACAGATTATTTGGCAGCCTAATGTGTTGAAAAACTAAGTATGGTTGACTAGAAACAAATTTCGAAATTTAAGTGAAAACTTTGTTTTGGGTCTTTTTCTTTTTTAGGAATTTAACTAAGTTAATAATGGGGACCCTAGTTGTATATAAACGAGAAAAAAAAAAAAAAAAAAAGACCCAAAACAAAGCTTTCACTTAAATTTCGAAATTCAATTAGTATTCACCCAATAACTATATAATATATTAAATAAAACACGTACGAAAATATTTGGGTAAAATTGCAGATAATGTCCCAGTGACAATTTTTTTTTTTTAAGCATCATTCTTGTTTAAAAAAAAAATTCCAAAATAGCATTAAAATTAAGGGAAATCTAAACGGTAGGTTTCCGCCAATTTTCAATTAAATTTTTGGGAATAATCAGGCTGTTTTACGCCAGGAATGTTATTTTTCTTAAATTTGTGACTGGGGCATTATTGTATTTCGCTCCCCGAAGGGAAATCAACTTATATGCATTACTGAATACTATTAAATTTTTCTAAGATTTAAAAAATCGAAATGCAAAAATATGAACAAGGTGATTATTTCTGGGCGCAATGACTATATTGCAAAGACTCCCAAATGTTTAAGACAACCATGGGAATTTTTATTTAATGTTTCACCCCCAAAAAAATCTTCGAGAAGTTTAGTTCTTTAGAAAGGAAAAAAAAAAAAAAAAAAGATATCATGCTTAAAGGATTATATAACGATTCAATAATGTTCAAGCATAAAAAGTTTAGTTTTAACGAGGAAAATGAAGTTTTTTTATTTGTGTTTTTCATATATGTGGAGAGTCTGAAGAGTTGTTTTCAGCCGGTATAAGATTTTAAAGAGCAGGCCATATATTTCGATATTTCAAATTATTACCTCAAGACAAGCTCAAGTTAAATAAGAACATTTCTAATAATTTAAACACGTGTTACCGTCTCTTGAAGATCATAGAATTTCTTACAGATGGTTCTATTTCAATTGCAACTTAGCAAAGTGGTAACAATTTTACTTGTCGAAATTGTTCTTGGACTATTATGGCCTATTTTAACTAAAGCCATTTCGTCACAACGTCATTCAAGTCACAGTAAAATCATTCTGTGCAAAGACGATTTTTTAAATCATGGTGGGTGGTGGTGGTGGAAAGACTATCTACAATTACGTCTAAAATAAATAAACTAAAATCCAGATCTTAAATGATTGATTTTTAAATTTAACACAAAGCTACTTTCTATAAAAAGGCGAGAGGTTATACTAGAAATAAACGAAATTTAAATACATAAAAATAAAACTTTTTTCATAAAAGAACATGGAGGACAGAGAAGCACGTGTCAGAAAAACAAATATATACGCAGATTTTTTTTTTTAAATACTTTTCTCCAGATGCATTTTACCAAGAAAATAAAGCCCTTGTCGGACAATGCAAATCATCTTTCCAAACGCTTCAAAATTTTTTTTCTTAATGCAGAGTAATAAAACTTGTCAGCTCCATGCACGAAACAATATTCACTAGATGGAAGACATTTTCAACTTAACGAGAATATTTACACAATAAATAGACTTATAAATACAAATACAGGTCTAAAACTGCTAAATATAAATCTTAGTGGAACAGTTAATTGCATGAAAAGCAATATTTCAAATTAATATTAAGTGGATGGCAACAGATTTAAAAATGATAAAAACGGATGAGGAAAAATTCAACTCACCATGATGAATTCTATTGCAAAAAGGCCGGGTGTGGGCCCGAGACGGCGCACTAACAATTTCCGGTATAGATTGTCTTCTATAGACTTTGTTTCGTCTTTTTAAAACGTAGATATACAATCGTTTTAAGTACTATTAATTAATACATTAAATTTTAATTCGTCTTTTATATTTTTAGAAAAAATAATAAGTATTAAATTAGCTGTAAATATAATTTCATCAATATTCAAAAAATGCGTAACTAAAAGTTATCCAATAATAATACCCGCGCCATCTCTGAAATATATTTTTTTTAATATTTTGATAACATTGACATATTTTATCCATATAAGTAATATTAAAATAAAATAAATAAATTTTTCAAATATTTTTACCATTATTATTTCATTACATTTTTTTTTTTTTTTTTTTTTTTTTTTTTAAAGCGTTTTTCGATGGCAAGGGAAGTAACTGTAAATATAACTTCCGGTAAAAATGAAAGCCACATTTTGAATTTGGTTTTTCCATACAAATGTTAAATATTTTTGTTTTTCTATAAGAATTTCGTGTAAGTAAAATTAAAAATTATTTTATTTATTTAAATACTGACATTATTTGCTAAATGATTTTTATATTCGCATGATCCTCATCAATTGTGTTTTTGTTTATTTTCTTGGTCATGTTATTGTTTGTTTACCGTACGTAAGATCGACTTTCATTTCATTAAAAATTAAATCTTTTAAATTAAAAATAAACATTTGTTTGTTCATAAGTATTTGTAATTTTATTTTAAACGAAATAATTATTTTAAAGTTGAATCTTTAAAAAATTTCGTCTCCTCTCTGTTTTCTTTTTTTTTACGTTTGATTTGATTCATATGCACGTTGGACAATTTAATTTTTATTTTATTTCATTAAGCAAAAAAAATTAAAACTAAAAATTAATTTATTTTTTCTTTTCACGATTCTCTTAATAAATTAAAATATTAAAGAAAAAAGGATTATATGATGAGCAAATCTTGAATTTTTAAATTTTCTACTTATTTAATTTATTTGTTTTAGTTTTTTATTTAAAAAAAAAAAACAGTAGTAAACTAAACAGTTTACTGCTGTTTTTTTTTTTGTTTTGTTTTGTTTTAACAAACATTTTCAAATTATGTTTTGTATTCCTAACCATTTAAAAGTCAAAGGATTTTAAAAGAAAAGCCGAAGTCTCGGTTTGAGGGTCTGTTTCCAGTCCCGGGATTTATATCTCCCCACCCCAGGCAGTGTCTCTCTTTCGGTGGGGGTTTCAGGCTATTATTATTCCAGTCAAATCAATTACATTCACTTATGTGCTAATTTGGGAAACGTATCAATCCTTTTCTTCTCCCTCCCCCACACCAGCTATAGGTAAATAGGACATATCAGGTTCTATTGCCTTGGAAGGCAACTGGTCTACTACAGAAAGAATTGCAACCTAATGCGTAAAATAAAAACAAAATCGGCCTCGTCAGTCTTGTACCGAAAGATACATTATTGCCTAAGTGTGTATTATTATGCATAGCACATAACTGACAGAATAGCGGCCCTAATTGAGGCATCAGAGAGCCGAGTTCGAATTCCAGTTGAATCCGTTACATTCACTTACATGCTAATTAATACCATTGGGAAAGATATGAATCCTCTTCTTATCCCCTGCCCCAGCTATGGTTAAATAGCAAGACAGACCAGATTCTATAGCCTTGGATGGCAACTGGTCTACAGCAGAAAGAAATGGCAACCTACTGCAGGGAAAAAAAATCGGCCTTGTTAGTCTTGTATCAAAAGATACATGATCGCCTGAGTGAGTATCACATGTGGCACATAACTGACTGACCCGGCATCCAAGGTGTTCACAAAGGAGAAAGTTTTTGCACTCATTAAAAATCCCTCATTAAAATCCAACCTTGTGTCACATTCTGTGATGTGGGAGTGCGGATAAATACCCCTGGTAATATAAGCCTCCAATATTCTTTATTAGCTTTAAACTTTATATTGTATTTTTATTTATTATTTTGACACTTTAAGATATGTTGACGAACAACCATAAACTGCATAGAAGCTATAGCAAAGATGCAAATAAAATCATCAATGCTTACGTAGAATTTTAATTCTGCATCCTTTCAAATAGCTGAAATTAACTTGTCCAATTTTGTGCAAAAAAGAGGATCACACAGTTTATTATCAGATCCAGCTTCACATATATTTTTTTAAAAATTCTGGTTCTGAATGGTCAATAAACACTCAAGTGGGCCTTACTATCCACCTTTCCATTAGCTTCTTTTTTTTTTTTTCTTTTTTTTCTAATGATGGTTATAGAAGGGGACTTTAGTTGCACAGGCATGCAATAATTTTTTGAGAATATTAGGTTTGATGGAGAGAGGTGGAACTAAATTATTTTTATATAGAGAGTTAAGGATTATATCAATGATTTCATCAACAGATATTTGTAAATAAATCTTCTATTTCAAGTGATGCTAGAATGCCTTGGTTTGGTTGTGTAGTTTTAAAGACTTGGAGAAATTCATGAGTTGAAAATGTGAAAGAGAATTAGCCTCTCAGATCTGCAGCACACATACTCCCCATTTTTTTACTTTTTATGCATACGAAAAAGCTGAAATGGGGTTACATCTTCTGATAGGGTTTTTCCCGCATGAATATCTGGTGAAATGGTTTAATGTCTGCTACAATCTCCATGTTGAAATTTAATTTATTGCTTTTCTCCGTGTATCTCTGCAAATGATTACACCTTGTCATTTATATGTGAACACGTAAAATTTTAATTCTACATCATTTCAAAGCACTAAAAACAACTTGTTCAATTTTGTGCAAAAAAGTGGGTCACAGACCCTTGATATTTCTCTGATTCCTGATTGATCAATCAATGCTAATATCATGTTTTCAACTACATCCACACAGTCAAAATTAATTTACCACCAAAAATCTGTCTGTGTTTCAAGCCTATCACATGACATGCAACATTATAAATACCAGCAACATTTTCAACTCTTTCTCTTTTTTTATGTCTAATCTCACACACACAGGATGTAACGTTAGAGAGATTACATTTGTCCCTTAAGGGAAAACTCTATGAAACCAGCATACACAAACAAACACACACACACACACACACACACACACACACATCTACGGCATCTATTCATTCTTTCAGCTGCAAGCAACAGAAACTTATTCAACTTCTAACAGAGATTTTCTCCAGCACTCAACAAGTCTACAAGATCTTCTTATCTAAGAACATTCTTTTCATTCAGACAGAACTTTATTTCACAAACTGAAATCTTTCCCTGGAGTCCAGATAAAAAAAATATTACAATACTTAACTTCTTGGATAAACTCACTCACACCAGTTAAACACACACACACACACATTTAGTGTTTAAAGTTAATTAGACAACAAACTACAAGATTTCAACCAAAATCTATGCCATTGTAATTCTTTTTACACTAATTACATTAGTCAGACTATTGTCCTCATCTTTGTCGCCATATTTATTACAACATTTTGGGACGCTGTACACTCCAGCTTTCTTCAGATGGTTAGAATGCTGAACTGTAGACTGTTCTAGTTCCACATGCCATGTCAGTTATCTCCTCTTAATTCTCCTCTGAAAGTTCTCCATTGAACTCACGCTCTTCGGGTCCTGTCACTGGATCTAATTAATGCCTTTATCCACTGTGCCATGTGTCCTTGAGGACATCTGGGTTTGAATTTCTGGGTATTATAAACCTAATGTCTTCAGCATTCATTTTTTTTAGGGTGCTCATATTGCAATTTTTGCTGTTATCATTGCATATTTTTTACCAGAGCTCATATTGAAATTTTTATTGTTATTATCGCTTTTCTCTGGCACTCCTTATTACTGGTTCCCATACTGTATTCATTTCTGTGCTTGGTCGGCTCAGCGAAATAAAGGGTTCAGTTTGACATTCCAAACACCTGAAGAAGGCCAGAGCGTACAATGGCCGAAACTTTGTGATAAACATGACAACAAAGATGAGGACAAGAGTCTGAATAGTGTAAATAGTGTACATAATACCTAATCTCAGAAATATAGACAGATACTGAAAATTGTTGACCAAATATATGGCCTTTGTCTTTTTTCAGTTTTGTGTTGATTTCTCTTGTTTGCTAGCAAATTTGTAAAGTAAAAAAAATGTACAAATTGAATTGAGGCTGTTCAATACCTTCTACGCATAAACCAAAAAATGATGGCTGTTTTTAAGAGTCTATCTAGAATCAGATTCAAAATCTCATCCTCTTAAGTTTTTAGCATCAAATTACCAGATCCTGTTTTTAAAATTATTGAATGAATTTATTCTTGAATAATAGCCCAGTCTTCTACTAGGAATGTTGGTTCATTCATTCAAAGTGTTATGCTATACAATTTTTCTTACCAGAATCTATTTTACACATTTATAAGTTTACCATTCATCCATGCATTGATTGTCACATCTGGTCTGGTGCTTCTGCTATGTATTTTTGAATTCTTGAAAAAAATCCAAAGAAGAATCTGCAATGTTATTGGTCCTGACTTGGCATTTCAGCTTCAGTCACTTTCCCACTGCCATAATATAACTTCCCTCTACCTTTTCTATAAATACTTTTATGGCCATTATTCTCTCTCTCTCACGCACACACACACACACACACACACACATATATATAGGGCACCTCAAGGACGTGTAATGGTTAGCAAGCTTGTCTTGCTAGAACAATTACGACTGAGTAGTGAGTTTGATCCTCACTGGGTGCCCCTTAATTTTCGGCCTTGTGCCACATCTAAACTACACTTGGAAAATCACTATATATATATATATATATATATATATATATATATATATATACCTCTATTATTTATTCATATGAATTCAAGGCCTTTAATTTCAAAGACCTTGAGACTGATGACCATAATCACCGAGATCAAGCAACATTGAGTCTGGTCAGTACCTATTTGGATGACCACTTGGGAACAATGCTGTAACCTTGGATGTGCAGATGGTGTAATGGATAATGGCTCAGAATTGTTAATCAGAGAGCAGGATTTCAATTCCAGTCAAGTTCATTATATTCAGTTACATGCAAATAACCTTGGGAAAGATATGAATCCACCTCTTCCTCTCCCATCCATTGGTTAAATAGCAGGACCTTATTATTATCTAAAAAAAATATTACAATCTAAAAATGTTTTCTGGCTTTAAATAATCTGCAAAAGGTTGATAAACCATAAAAAACACATCCATCAATCAACCATCTTAAAAGAACATTTCACTGAAAACTTTATGTAACAGACTTTAAATTATACCAACTTACTTTGCTGGTTTTGTATTTCAATTGTGTTTTTGTTTCTTAACAAACAGAAGCAGGAGATACATAAGACATTGAATAGCTTAAACAAATTCTAAATAGACTAAAAGAAATTACTAACAGATCGGAATGTCAACTGGTTAAAAATTCATAGAAAACTCAATACATTATATAAAGGAACTATGTACCTCCTGAATAACTTTGACATCATTTAATTGCAATACACAGAAGGTTATTCATGAGTATGATCAAATTATGTTAAAAATAAGCAGACATAATGTCTGTAATTTATTTAATCAGATATGCATAAAAGAGAATTTGCTGCCTAAATACACACACACACACACACACACATAGTGATTTTTCCAAGCATAGCTTTGATGTAGCACAAGGCCGAAAGTGGGGAGCACCCAGTGAGAATCAAACTCACTACTCAGTCATAATTGTTTTAGCAAGACAAGCTTGCTAACCATTACACCACCTCGAGGTGCACGCGTGCAAACACACACACACACACACACACACACAGACACACACACACACACATCATTATTGTTATTATTAAAATGTTATTCAATGTATGTGTATTATTTTATCTTTAGATTTTCTATCAGGTTTTGTTAGGGAATTTACGGTTAATCTAAATGAGCCTCCACATAAATATTTTCATGTGTTTACAAAATGAAACGTTTAACTTCAGCCAGAATCTGCTTTTTAACTGATATGACTTTTTTTTTTTTTTTCTTTCCTCCCTTATTTCAGGTTTTTCACTTAATTGCATTATGTCTCATCCAGTCCGAACACTGCCCCAGAGCAAAGAGGCACTTCTTAGATCTTACAACAAAAGACTCAAAGATGACATAAAATCAATGGTTGAAAATTTCAAAGAAATTATCAAACTAGCACGGGTTTGTAGAATTGTTCGTGCCATATTTTCTTTTTTTCCTTCATCATTTTCTTTTTTTTTTTTTTTCTTTAAACAAAGCAACTAACATTTGAAGCCATTTTTAATTTATAAGTTGGTTCACAATGATTAAGAAAAAAAAAAAAAAAAAGAAGTTGTAAACATCCAATCTCTGGCACCAAAGCCAGATTCAATTAGACAATCAACCATATTTATCGGATATCTTTGGATTCAATACTGCAATAGCAACGCTTCTGATGGAAGTTATTTGAATTCTGAAATTAATTTTTTTTAATGCAAAATTTTATTTACTTTTTGTCTTTAACATAAATCTATTGGTTGAATATCATCTGACTATTTAAGTAAATAACATGAAGGAAGACCAAACAAGTAGCTTTTATTATATGGTGGTCATCTTATAACAATGTCCATTCCCAGCTTTGTCCTTCTGGAATGATTGTAAGAGTGTAAATATATACAAAATAAATTTTTATATATATAATATATATGTATATATATATATATATATATATATAATATATATGTATTATATAATATATATATTCTATAATATATATGTATATATATGTATTATATAATATATATGTATATATATGTATTCTATAATATATATGTATATATATATGTATTCTATAATATATATGTATATATATATGTATTCTATAATATATATGTATATATATATGTATTCTATAATATATATGTATATATATATGTATATATATAATATATAATATATATATATATATATATATTCTATATATATATGTATATATATATGTATTCTATAATATATATGTATATATATATGTATTCTATAATATATATGTATTATATAATATATATGTATAATATATATGTACATATATGTATAATATGTATATATATATATATATATTATATATAAAAATGAACATAGAAGTCAACACTTAGAGGTGACAGTCTGTTTCATGCTAGATGCAATCGTCAAGCCTGACGATTGCATCTAGCCTTACTTGATATAATGCAAAAATATCAAAATGATAAAAACGGTCAATAATTATTTATAACTATTTATACTGGGACGCATGCATGCAGTTATAAGTAATCCATAATTATATTTTAAATTTTAAAATCATATTTATTTTTGGCATATGAATTTTTTGAAACTGTTTCTAAATCTTTGATTGTCTTTCTATCATTCCGCCACACCTGCTATCCTCTTCCACTGCACATATGAGGCGCACCACCCCATTTGAGAACCACTGAGTTAGAGGTTCAAGAGTTCAAATGTAAATGTCCAGGTGCATACGAGAGAGAGAGAGAGAGAGATTGTCCAGGAGAATGTATATGCATATTTATGTATGTATTCAAATGTAGCAGTCGCTTTGCTTAAAATGGTTGAAGGAAATGTGTATCTTTTAGTGTCCACATTAAATGTAGTCTCTTTTTAGTTTTAGTCACTAGTGTAAACAATAGGAGATTGGTATTGTATGCATCTATGTGAGACTATGGCTGTTGCATTTCAGCTCTGGGTATGTTATGATGACTGCAGCACTGGAACAGGAATGAAATTAATTCATCTATTCTGATTTAGGTTGACTTTCCATCTTGTTATATAGTTTTAGTCACTAGTGTAAACAATAGGAGGAATGGAATATAGAGATCGACTTCAAAATTGACAGTTAGCTTCTTATAGATCCACGATCAGTAACCTTATATCTTGGTCAGAAACTGATCTTGTTTCTGATTCGCTCACTAGATGATGATGTTTGTATCCTGATTGGGACAGTTTCTGATTGGTTGATTGAAACTGAACTTGTCTTTGAAATTCTGAATATATGCTTATTTTTAGAGATGGTGAAATTTTGGTCTCTTTGTTCTTATTTATTTGTTTTTATAAATATATAAAAGAAAAAAATAATAATAATGAAACAATTAATTTTCTACAATACCAAAAAGAAAAACATTTGGAAGGAAACTCATACCAGTACTGGAGAAAGCTACAACATTTAATGGACATAAGAAGTCAATTTTCCTGAAAAAAAAAATATTTTATGAATTTCAACTAAGAGTATCAACAATAACTGCACACTCAATGAATACTGAATGTTTTTTGTATGGAAGCAGCTAATTGTTTTCTGTATGGAAGCAGCTAATTGTTTTCTGTATGGAAGCAGCTAATTTTACCATTACCACTAATCATAACTTTTTTTTTTCCTTCAAAATTGCAATGCAATCCCACTCTCTGTAAAATAATCCAAGGAAAAGATGAAATCATTAAGATGGTTTGTTTCGTTTTATGGCACATCAACCTCAATGGGTCATTTAATGCCATCAACTTTTTTCTTTTTTTTTTTTTCCTGGTAATACTTTTGTTTCGTCAAAAATCTGTTTCTGTTAATATTTTTTTTCCTCAAAAATGTATAGCTGGTAATATTATTTTTCCTCAAAAATGTATAGCTGGTAATATTATTTTTCCAAAAATGTATAGCTGGTAATATTTAAAAAAAAAAAAAAAAAAAAAACCATATAGCTGGTAATATTATTTTTCCAAAATGTATAGCTGATGATATTTTTTCAAAAAACGTATAGCTGGTAATATTATTTTTTCCAATAACATATAGCTGGCAATATCATTTTTTAAAAATTGTATAGCCAGCAACACTATTCTTTCAAAAAAACATATAGATGGTAATATTTTTCAAAAACATACAGCTGGCAACATTATTTTTTCAAAAACGTATTATCAGAGGCCTTGCTGTTGGATGTAGTTTATTGTCATACCCAGGACTCCATTAAGATGGGATATTTTATTAAGAATATTTGTACATTGCCTAATTCTGTAAATGAAAAGCAAATGAGATAAATTGATATACCACTGTAACAGCTGCCTTACCATTAACAGGAAGAAAAAAACTGAAGTCAAGAAACAATAAGTGGAGATAAGATGTGGCTGCGATAAGTAAAAGAGTTTTTATTTTTCGTGATTTACAAGGTTCAATCAAGTGCTTGATCCAGGGTTTTGTATCATCAGTCATTGGATACTGAGAGTTTGTTCGGGGTATAACACAAGGTTGTCATCAATATAAATGTGGAGAAAATCAACATGAATATATATTCAACTAAGATAAACTCATGGGAGAAATATTTCACAAATTATTATCGCATTGTAGTAGTTGAGAGTTCTTACTGTTGCCGCTGGATGAAAAGTGTCACTGTTGATGGAAGTGCCTTGATGTCAGTCTGGTTAAGCTTGCCTGCCATGGGGACTGTTACTACTGCCAGGCTGACCAGGTCTGCCTTTATGGGTGAAATCGGCATTGGCTTTATGGTGGCTCAGAAATAGCTGCTATAAAAACTGTGTGGTTTTTTTCTGAATGGTGTGAAAAGATGTTTTATGACCCTGGTATTTTTGGACAGTATTCCAGACTAAATTGAGATCTGTTTTTGTCATATGAGCTGTGAATGTCAAAGTGAGCACTTCTGATTTAGTTCAAGAATTGGAATTCCAACAGCGTCTGACGCCATCAAATACACTATATTTTCATCTGCACTGTGAGAAGCTATCATGTAAATAGAATAGATGCAAAATTAACCAGGGTAAGCATTATATATATATATATATATATATATATATATATATATATATATATATATATGAAATTGAATATTGATTGCATGCAGCATGAAATAGCCTGTTGCCTCTGAGTGTTGACTTCAATGTTCACTTTTATATTTATATTTACATACGCTCTATCTCTGATATTGAGTACTTTATCCCATAGATATAGCACACCGTAAAACTATATTTCTTCTCACACACACACACATACATATATATATATATATATATATAAATTTGAAATCAAAATCATTTATGACAAATGCTTTTTGTTCACCCCCCCCATTTTCTTTTCTGACAAAACATCTTTTCATCTGAACAGTGAAATCGTTTGTTTCCTATTTTGTTTAAATATCCATCTGTAGACATCTGTTTAATTTTCTCTTCTTTGATTTGTGTTTTTTTGTTTGTTTTGTTTTTGTTTTTGTTTTTTTTTAAGATCAACTCAAATTTCTGAAAATAAAATGTGAACCACCTTATTAATAAAAAGTGACTTGCCTGATATTAAACTGAAATTAGACTAGCTGTTTGTATTGTCTGTGATATCACTGGTAGGATTTATTAAATTGCATTTGAACCATATATAGCTAGAGAAGGTTTGGGGTTTTATTACGCCCCCACCCAACATCCTAGCTTGATTTTAGTCATTTTCTGTACTAACAGTTTCTAACTAGGACAAAATAAAAATTGATCAGGCTCTGAATTTCGTGATTTTTAACCTAATTTTTTTTTTCCCAAGTTTTAGCACTCAATCTGTGTGTCATGCATGAAAAATTAGAAAGTGTGATGGGGGGGGGGTCTCATCATAGCCAAGTGTCAAATTTTTTTTTGTTTTTTAATTTTGAAACCTGCCGCCATATTGCATACATTTGGCTGTGATGCATCTGCCAGCTATACTCATATCAGGCTAGGTGTCATGATGGGTGCATTGGATTTTCTATATTTGTAACCTGGTGTTTATTTTATTTTTTTTTTTTTTTTTTTTAATCATTACACTCCAAGTAAGGTGATAATGCCACTAAGACGCAAGGGGTTACAGGGAGTGAAAGAGAATGAGGAGAAGACTTCACAGAGTTTGAAAGGACAAAAGCGCAGGATTCAGAAGATAGCAAATGACATTTCATTGAAATCTTTGAAGAACTTAGGTGGCTGGGAAGCAAGAAACTGGAAGAGTTCTACAGGCGAGAGGTGCAAGAAAAGTAATTATTAGATTAAAACTTAGAGTTATATCTAGCTATTTCAATAGTAAAGCAATGAAACCTAGTTGCATATCTAGTACCATGCTTAAATTCATGTGGTCAAGATGCCAAGAAGGAAAACTCATCAGAACAATTGCCATTGAAATATTTATAGAAAAGACAGAAGGAAGCCATGTCACAGTGGTGGGAAAGTGACTAAAGCCGATATGCCAGGTCAGGACCAATAACATTACAGACCCTTCTTTGGATTTTGTCAAGTATCTCAAGTTATATAGCAGGAGCACCAGACCAAATATATTCAATGTACGGACGGATGGTAAATTTATAAGCGTGCAAGATGGATTCTGGTAAGAAAAATAGTCTGGCACGACACAGTGAACCAACTTTCCTAGCAGCAGGCCTAGCAATTGATTCAATATAATCATTCCACTTCATATCACTGGAAAATGTGAGACTGAGAAGGCACAATGAATCTCTCTCCTGGTGGTTAGCATCAGCCATGCTGATGGAAGGCAAAAATGATTCTCTATGATGATTAAAAGATATCAGTTTAATTTTGGAGGTGTTACAATTTACAAGCCATTTCTTGCTCCAGTTAACAACTTATTGGAGGTCATTTTTGGGAGCAGCCTCCAGTTTTACTTTGTCAGACCTATCAGGTGTACTATTCGCACAGAAGTAAATAGTTGTGTCATCGGTATAAATACCTAATTGGGGATTGGTGACATTGGGAAGGACATTGATGAAAGTAAGAAACAATGTAGGTTCAAGTATAGAGCCCTGGGGAACTCTTGCGTTAATGTGAAATGATGTAGAAGCATTGCCATACAACACTACTTTCATTACACAATTTGTTAAAAATGATTGGATTATGTCAAATATTTAACTAAAGACGGCATAACACTTCAGCTTGTGATGAAGACCAGTAAACCCTTTGTAGGCATATGATGATTTTCTAAGCATAGCTTAGATGTGGCATAAGGCCAAAAGCATGGAGCGCTGATGAGGATCAAACTCATTATTCACTTATAATTGATCTAGCGAAAGAAGCTTCCTAACCATTACACCATGTTGTAATGTGCAAAAATGATTTTTCTAAGTGTAGCTTAGATGTGTCACAAGACCAAAAGTATGTAGCACCCCTGAGGATCAAACTTGCTGTTCAGTAATAATTGATCTTGCTTGACCAGCTTGCTAACCATTACACCACATCAAAGTGTCCCTCTCAAAGCTTTTTGCACCTCAAGACACCAGGCAGGTAGCTAAAATTACAACTACGTACATTTTTCTCACTTACAGATTAACTCGCTTATTTTGACACAAATGCAACATTGTGATAAAGGCCCAATCAAGAACCCTGCACAAGAACTAGTTTAAATGCCGCCTGATAGGGCAGCTTAAAAGCTCGTTTTAAATATTTGTTGATGGGATGAAGTATAGGGAGAAGTTGTTCATCTCTTTTCCAAGAGGTGTTAGTTCAAAGTGAACATCTGCAGCCTCAGCTGAAATTCAATTTGTTTCATTGCTTGTAGCCTTACACCACTTTAAGGAATTTAAATGATGGCTTATTTTTCCACTCTATGGCCTTTTTCCCCTCAAATGCAACATTTTATCACTATTTCCATGGCAAATGTTCAGCTAAACTCCATTCTGTAGTTTGACTAGTTTAGACCTTTACTGTGAGGATGCATCATGCTTCTTCCAAGGAGTCAAATCACCCTTATTTCCCCCGTGTTCCAAATATAAGAAGGAAGTTCCACTCAAACAGCTTTCTCTCAAGAACTGCCACTTTGTAGAACAGACTCTTGTGTAGATGTTTTCTTGAACACTTTAACCTTGAACTTTTCAAGTCCAGGGTCAGTAATTATCTATCCTCCTCATCCTTATAATTTCCACTTAATATTACCTTCTCTTCATATCACACACCTTGTCATCATCATTTCATCCATAACCCTCTACCTTGTCTGGCTCTCGGGCTTTATATTAGGCAAAATTTAGTAAAGCACAACAAAGAAACAATAAATGAAAAAATATACAAATAGAATTATTTTGAAATTTCCAATTTATTATCCTTTTATTAAATTTCATGAGGTACTATTGTTCTGTTTTTTTTTTTCGTTTCTATATACATTTCAGGTAGAAGACGACACCCAAATCTCTCGGATGACCCAAGCAGAACAAGATCAATATGAAATGCAAGTCAGAGCTGCAAACATTGTGAGTGTTGTTTTGTTGTTTCAGTCCATTTAATATAAAAGTCCACATGATTCAAACAAAAACCTTTTAAAATTCTTTTGACTCTTAGGAAAAGGATTCCTCAGAATACAAGAACTTATAAAATAACCGAGTGAATTTACGGGATCAATATTTATTAGTAGTGCATGTGACGGCTGGCTAAACAGTGATTTGAGGCAGGATCAAGTTGACAGAAAAACTTGGGGAAAATAAGTGAGTGGCCTTTTGGCATATTGAGAACAAGAACTAAGTAAAAATATGGATTTAAACATATAAAATGAGATGAATGAGGACTCTGAGAGGACTGGAACCTCGAACAACTTAACCAAAAAAGCATTAAAATTTGGGAGTTTCCCAACCTTACACACCTGTAAAGAGATGAATCAATGACAAACCTGTCTGTTCTCAAAATTTACGCAGCTGGGATTGTTTTGAAAAATCTTACCTGGGTTAATTCCATTCTGCAAAAATTATGTGATTTCATTGCTAGAATGCTGACCTACATTTCAGTCTAGTCAGAGCTGGGGTTATTAGGTAAACTTTTTTTTAAACCTAGTTTCCAACTAGGGGGTCAGTGACCCATCAATGACGAAAACGGATAGATTCTTGATAAAACTAGGCAGCCAAAACATTTTGGACAGTTTCTGTTCTAGCTCATTGACTGCAGTTAAATTTCACGACATTGCAGCTAAGCTTCCAATGAACACAGAGAAAATGAAAGCAATTAGATCTACAGAAAAGAGAGGGGAGTTCTGTTTACAGGACTACTATTTGAAGAATAGTATCAAAGTAATATCACTGTCTCAGAGCACCTTTCAGTCGAGTAGAGGGTAATACCCACAAGCTAATGCTATATACTCCTTCATATACATATAGCATCATAATAAACCTGTAGTTGAGTTTGACAAGGGTGTTAGTGTTTTCCTTGGAGTTTTCTCTTACATCTGTTATTTCCATCCAAGCCCTGGGTCTTGGAGAAAAGAGTTATCACACTCCCACAGTGGAATTCAATTCTGCTGTGAGGCATGCAACATTTTTTTAAAGAAAGTCCTACCACTGGGCAACACAGTTAAGAAACATGGAGTCTGTAACCATGGTCAAGCCTGTCTTTTCTGCATTTTACAGTTGAAAATTATCAGACAATTTGAAGTAAGGAAACCCTGTCCCTTATTCAATCCACTATTGTCTTCATCTTTGTTGTTGTTATCAAGTTCTTATTGATCTGGGTTAACCTTCTGGAAATTTTGAACTGAATCCTTTATTTAATCCATATTGAGGTAAACTGTTCTCGTTTCACTGTCCATGTTTAGGGATATCTCATCTAATTCTTCTTTAGTACTGCTCAGTTATTGTTTGTCCTGTTTCTACTGAGTCCAAGTACACACTGTCTGGCCTTGGGATTGAACTCACAATTACTGTCACCAAATTCACAATGTTTGAATCTATTAGGCTACTGTACTATGGGAAAAACCTGAGTGGAGAACTTGGAGCCTTAAACCTATCCTGACTACTGATGAACTTTGATGCTTGTCATACTTGACTGCACTTACCAAAACTTCTCTTTTCTACTACTGTCATTTTTCTTTCTATATTAATGGCTCCCCTATCGTATTTATTTCTATGCTCGGTCTACTAAGGAGGTCCTCACAGCATAGAATATACTTTTATTTCAATTTTGCATTTGACCAAAGGTGAGGGCTGCTATTAACCATAGAACAGTGTGTTTTCTTCATTATCAAACAAATCACTGACACTAAAGTGCTGGAGATTGGGTAGATAGAAAAGGCCTCATTTTGCGACTTACAAGCATGCAAAATAATCAGTGATGGCTCTGGGGTTGCTGTTACTCCGGTGTCCTTACAAGTATAACTTTTTTTTTTAATTTTCACAAGAACAACTGAAAAGGTAGAATAACAAGTCTATTACAATATACATTCCTTATCCTACCTAAAACATTTTTCTAGCCTTCAGATCTGCAAATCTTTTCATGGCCCTTTCTACACCTATCTTCTTTACAAGATCATTTCCTATTGACAAAATAGCCAAAGAACTGTTTTGAGTCATGGATGGCCGCAAATATGTTTTTATAAGCTTTAGTTTTGGAAGATCCAAACACATGGCGCCATGATGGTATGATGACATCCTGAGCGACTTGCCCATGTTGCCAGTACTTTGAGCCAGCCCCGAGAATAATTGTATAGATTGCTTGAAGGAAACTAAGATGATTTTGTCTTTTGTTTTTGGTAGGTACGAGCTGGAGAATCTTTGATGAAACTGGTGTCAGACTTGAAGCAATTCCTTATCCTCAATGATTTCCCTTCAGTGAATGAATTCATTGGACAGAAAACAAAACTGTACAAACAAAAACAAAGCGAATTGGACAACAAATTGTTAGCTTTGCGAGATGATATGGCCACAGAACTTTTTGAACTTGAAGATGAATATTACTCTTGTGTGTACAAATAATATTAATAAACTTTTATAAATTTATCCTGTCTCTTAACTTTTTTCTCCCTCTCTCTCTCTCTCTCGTCTTTTTATCACTTTCACAGCCACTTGTCCATTTTTGAAAAATTCAACATCTCACAATGGCATAGATCCTTCTTAAACCACAAGACATCATCTTGAATTGATATCAACATTCAATAAGTTTAAATTTATCTGGTTCAAATTCAAATAATAGCAAAGATGCTGCACTAATGTTGCAGTGGTGGGGGTACTGCTTTCCCTGGAAATCTGTATTTATAAATGCAGAATAAGCTGATTCAGTCAACTTGAAAAATCTTATCCTAACAGGAAATTACTTTCAAAACAAAGCCTTAGAAAAAGTTTGACTATAAAATGTTGCCAACCTAAAAATAAAATCTAAACCTGACAACTCTTGTAGAGGTGATAGAGCTGCTCTGCAATTAAAAATAAATATTAGATGTCTTTCACAAAATATTTTCTTACTCAACTGAATAGGTCTGGAAGTATGCTCAAGATAAAGTCCATGTAAACATGCTCAGAGAACATATGGACCTACCAGACAATCACCTACAATTCCAGCCCACACATTAATCATAAACTGATGCTGGTCTCTAGCCTGTATTGTACCATGGAGATATTGATCCGCCCACAAATGTTGGTTGTGTATATTTGTTATTCCATCTCTCCCAAATGTCGCCTCATCCGTAAACAAGACTGAAGAGACAAACAATGGATTGGCAATTTGTGCAATAAACCATCGGCAAAAGTTTTCCTGTGGTGTGTGATCAGAAGGCAAAAAACCCTGCACATGTTGCAAATGATACGAATACAGGAGCTGCTCTTCAACTATTCTCCATGCGGCACCATGATATATATGGCATGCTAAGGCCACTTGACGTGTCCTGATACCTGGATCGTCACTGACAACCTATAGAATGTTTCTTTCATGGTCAGGTGTACGAGCGGATCCCAGTCTTCATTGATCCATAGTGATGCCACGGATCCTGTCTCAGCAACACGACAATAAACAGCAGCAAATGTTGGATGACTTGGCTGCCGTCAGTCTGGAAACGCAATCTGATACAGCTGTTGAGCTTCACATCCATTTATCATTTGCAAAGCCGTATGTAAAATTCATATCTAGCTGCTAATGATATGAATATCCTATCATTGTTAAATGGAATACTTTTCAGTTAACTCACTACCACACACATTAAACGTTCAAGACAGACTATCTACAAATGTACACAAATAACAAATGTAACCTAGTCTACATGACAACACAGTGCCATCTATCATAAACATTTTAAACGTAATAACTCAAAAAAGAAGGATTTACAGACATGTCTATATGGATTTTTGTCCTTGTTTTGGTGAGAGGAACCCACCCCAAAGTTTACAAAAGTATTTTTGATACACCCTAATTGCTGATACCCCAAGAAGAGTGGATGAAGTCAGGATACTGAAGGTTAATATCAATCAGCTAAATGGCAAAACTTTACTCACATTAATCCGAAATATATATATATATATATATATATATATATATATATATATATATATATAGGTAAGATGTATGACAAGGAGGGAAATGGTTTTGTGATGCATTATGTCTCTTAGGACTTCATCGGACTAAGTTTGTTTATGTTGATGCAACTGCTCATGCATCAACTTAAATTTAAAAATAATTTTCTCTTTATGTTTAGAGTATATAATATAGCCAAATTCTACCAAACACACACCCTTATATATATATATATATATATATATATATATATATATATATATATATATATATATATATAAAATATAAAACTTACTTTTTTAAATTTAAATGTAAACAAATTTAGTCCAATGACGTCCTAAAGGATTTAAATACGTCACATGAAAACTTTTTCCACTTTGTCATACATCTTTCTCCCAATGTGTATGTATATATATATATATATATATATATATATATATATATATATATATATATATACACACACACACACACACACAGAAGGTACTCGGGTTACATCGGGTCCGACATACAGTGTTTTGTGGCTACATCACCATCTCCCATAATATAGTACGTTGTCATGCAGCTCTATATGAGGAAGAAAGACAGTGTTATTTCTTCACCAACTGTACACAATATTGAATTGTGTTACATTCACTATCTCTCGTTTGTTTTTTTTTTTTTTGTGGCGGGAGGGAACTTTATGCCCTTCCTTATGACACTCAAGTTTAAGGAAGATTCGTGGATGCTTATGTAGGTGAGTTCCAACTGATATCAAAAATTAGGTTGCATTGTGTTGTAGGAACAGATCTCAAATTTAAGTCAAGGATCCCTGTGTGTGTGTGTATATATATATATATATATATATATATATATATATATATATATTTTTATTAAAAAAAGATAATCTTAAGCATCAAGCTTGGAAATGTGATCCGAGGAACCAGGAAAAATCACTTTCCTAGGGAAATAAAATATAATCAATGGACCCTTAAGGTTGTGTTTTTTAATTAAATTAATATTTGCTCTAATTTTATATTGAGCTCTCTGGATTACATCTTCCTCAGGATTATCCATACGGATTACCAAACATTTCATTACCTCTATATATATATATATATATATATATATATAGTGTATTTAGGCAGCAATCCTTCATTTATGCATGTTTTATTAAAAACAACAGACAAGGTACTTCAGTGAAGCTTTTCCTTTCATTTTTCTTGTGTTCGAATTATAGTTTACTTTTTGGGACACAGAGTATATAGAAACTGTCCAAATGTTCTATAGTTCTGAGCACTTTTGGCTATACTTTTAGCCATTATCAAGGATGATTTTATTTATTCAGTTTAATTGAGTCTGTGTATGTTTTTCGTGTGTTATGGAGATGTTTTATTTTCCGAACACGGTTAGCACATTGTGGCCTAGTTCGTAGTTAATATTGTTAAGAGTTGGCTTTTTCTTTTTCATTATGAGGGCTTCCATTATTTTTAATCTTTTTACAAGTGGATGAAGTTATTATGTTTGTTTTCTACTAGTATGTTTTGAATGGAGTCTGGTAAGTTTGTGTATGTTTAAATGGGTTCTAATAGAACTATGGACAGATAGGTGTAGCATAAGACATCTCAATAGGGGCATGTGAACTCATAATATTCGTTCATTGTAATTTTGACTTAGCTGGTGTGTTATTTTTGAGGATAAGGTTAATTGTCTTGAATTTTTTATAGTAGATAATTAATTTGATTTTTTTTTTATTCAGGTCAATTGGGAATTGGGGTAGTGTGTTTCTTTATTATATATATATATATATATATATTAAATAAAAACTTAACTGTAGTACCATGTCTGATGTTTTTAATGAAACGTGTGTGTGTGTGTGTGTATATATATATATTTCTGATATGAGGTATTATGTACACTATTCGAACTATTGTTCTCATCTTTTTTTCTTTCCCGGCCTTCTTCAGGTGGTTGTCAACCTGAACCCTTTATCTCGCTCATTGGGGTAGACAGTTCTAATGGATGCCAGTTATCTCCAAGTTCTCCACTGCCTTAACCGGGTATTGAACTCACACTCTTTGGGTCCTGTCACTGGATCTAACACTTTTATCCACTGTGCCATGTCTCCTTGTGTATGAATTTTGGGTATTATAAACCTAATGTCTTCAGCAACCATTTTTTTTTTTTTTTTTACCAGTGCTCACAATGCAATTTTTGTAGTTATTATGCAATATGGGAACCAGAAATAAGGAGTGCCAGAGAAAGTATATATATATATTAAAAAAAAAAGCGAACATTGAAATCAACACTCAGAGGCGACAGGCTGTTTCATGCTGGACGCAATCGTCAGGCCGCTTTGTATATTTATATATGCTCTATCTCTGATATTGAAGACTATATCTCATAAATATAGCACACTTTAAAACTATATTTCTTCATATATATATAGATAGATAGATAGATATATTATATATAAATCAACAGAAATATTAACCAAAAACATACAAACTGTTTATTAGGAAGACAATGGTGGGATTTGGACCTAAAATAAACTGAATTTTTACTACCCAACTTCTTGTCCCCAAGGAAGTTGTGATGACATGTTTAATGTGTTTACCAAAATTCTGCAAAAACAAGCTGAATCAGGGAGATGTTTATTTGGCCAAATTTACATTGATATGGACCAAAATGCCTGACACTATTTACATTATTCGGACTATTGTCCTCATCTTTGTCGCCATGTTTATCACAACGTTTCAGCCGTTGTACAATCCAGCCTTCTTCAGGTGCTTGGAATATCAAAATGAACCCCTTATTCCGCTCACTGGGGTAGACTGTTCTAGTTCCACATGCCATGTCTAATGGCTGTCAGTTATCAGTTACCTCCCGTTAATACCCCTCTCCAAGTTCTCCACCACCTTAACAAGGACACATGGCACAGTGGATGTTAGTTAGATCCAGTGACAGGACCCAAAGAATGAGTTCAATACCTGATTAAGGCGGTGGAGAATTTTGAGAGGGGAGATAACTGACATGCATCAGATGTGGAACTAGAACAGTCTACCCCAGCGAGCGAAATAAAGGGTTCAGTCCAACATTCCAACTACCTGAAGGCAGAAGTGTACAACAGCCGAAACATGATAAACATGGTAACAAAGGTGAGGACAATAGTTAGCTGTTTTCCTACAAGGAAACATTTAGCATTCAGAGATTGAGCAGTCTGGATTGCTTTTCTTTGAAATTTATAAAATTTTCTCTTAAGACAATTTTTCAGGAGAATAGGTTTTCGCCTGTTCGGTATTTTCCCCTGTTGCTGGTCTCTGAATACAGTCGCTTCATGTGATGTGATGGCTGAATAAATGTTTAAGCTCCAAAACAGTTCTTTGTTTGAAGATAGTCTCCATCAGTGTCATTCCCTTGGATAAATCTCTATCTATAGAAGGTAGGATATATGTGTGTGTGTGTATAACGAATGCATGGCCACAATTTTTGA